TGGTGAACTCTTCGTCTATGTTCAGGGGTAGTGCTGCGACTCCAGGAGTTTCTTTCTGGAAGGTCTAGGCACCAGGAGGTGGGGTCGGAGGAGGTGGCCTGGACACCGAATGTTGAGAAGCTGTCATACAACTGCATCTCTTGCTTAGAATATGTTTGGTCTTTAGAGAAGGTTTTTGTAAAGGGACAATGGAGATGAATTTGAAATGGAAATGGCACTTGCCCCCAAAGTCCCCATTATGCGCTACCATGGAAAATCTACTTAATGCAGCTCAGGGAACAACTGAGGAAAAGCTTCGCGTCCAACCTTAAATTGCATCTTTTTAATGGGAGGCTTCTAGGCTGTGAGGGGAGGGTGGGAAGGAGCTGGGCCTGGGGGTATACACGCCTCCCCTGGCACAGCGCTCGGTGTGAAGTAGTAACAGCACCAGAGTTTATTCCTTCCCTAGTACTGTTCGGTTGACTTGAAATGTGCATTTGGTATACAGATAAGGAACTCGGAGCAGGAGAGCAATGACACAGATTTACTGGGTCTCCAGCACCTTGCCTTGCCTGTTGCTGTCTTCTCAGAAGTCATCACCCTTTCTGCATTCTTATGTGGTCTTCCAGAATATGGCACTTGGTGTGTCTGTGAGTGTATGTGCAAATATTAACACATAATAATTCATCATTTGTATGCCCTTCTTCTCCTTCTCCTTCTCCTTCTCCTTCTCCTTCTCCTTCTCCTTCTCCTTCTCCTTCTCCTTCTCCTTCTCCTTCTCCTTCTCCTTCTCCTTCTCCTTCTCCTTCTCCTTCTCCTTCTCCTTCTCCTTCTCCTTCTCCTTCTCCTTCTCCTTCTCCTTCTTCTTCTTCTTCTTCTTCTTCTTCCTTTTCCTCTCTTCCTCTTCCTCTGTTTCTCAGAGGTCCTCTGCACAGCTATATAATATTTCCCTGTATGGATTTTATAAAATTAACCCAATGGGCTTTCTCTTCGCAAGCATTACGTGGTTTCTAGTATTTTGCACACCTGGATTTTTTTTAGATGCAAACGGCGCTCAAATCATAGGTCCTCCGTGAGGCCTCTTATTCTGGGGAGAAGCTTCCTAGCCTGGAAGCTAATCTTCAGGCAGGATTGACTGAGATGAGAGTGCTGAGTTGGGTCAGATGTGTGACAGGAAGCTGCTTGATGTCAATTTTCTCGGACAGCTATTTTTAGCTTCAGAACAGTAATCATGGCAAGAAATCTTTGTATCCTGCCCTAGACAATCTTTTCTTGGAAGACTAAAGTGGACCCCTTTAAAGGGTTCAAAAATGCAATTTGCTAACAGTTTAATGGGTTGATTAGCGACTTTGATAGTGTATTTCTCAAGGAGAAAACAGTTTTGTGCTGTAAAAGGTCCATCTGCTTTGTTCTCCACAGATATCAAAGCTTTTCAGATCCCTGTTCCTGTCCACAGAGCTTAGGAAGCCTAGCTATCAGCCGTTCTGTGTTCTTATCATCCACAGAGCTTTGGGTGTGAGACCCGTGTAGTATTGTTTCTCTGCCCAGTCCTTTGGAGGTAGTTCTACTGGTGATACAGAGAAAATGGTTCTTCACCATAGGTGTTTTCTGTTCCTCATGCATCTGTTAAGCAGGTTTTTACTTCAGGAAAAAAATGTATCCAGCATTGCTGATTGCCCATCATATGGAAAATAGGCTAGCGCGGTCACGTGGGGAGCTGATGGGAATTCGTGGCTAAGTCAGCTGGTTGTCTGTTTTGCTGGCCCAGCTACAGTCAGAGTTGCTGCCCTGTGGCAAACCCTCTGGCTGGGACTGACTGATGCCAGCTCTCTGGGAAGTGGTTTTAGAATGGGACACTTCCCTGTCGGGAGATTTATGACCTAACACTCTGAGTTATTAAGGTGTAGGCTCAAGCACATGCTTCATTTCCCCTTGTTCAACATTGAAGGAAGAGGCTGCAGCCTGTGAGTCAGGTTAGCCAGCCTGGGGGCCGGAGGCTGGAGAGCCTTGTCAACGGGAGCAAACTTTGGATTATTTTGATTTTAATATATGCAAATGCCTTTATAATGTATGATGTGTTAGGTAGAAAATTATTACACATGCCAACAATTTAATTTAAAAATGATACTCTTGAATATTTTATGAACCACTGGAATAATATCACACCCTTAATGAGAAGGAGAATGGTGTTGTGCGCTTTGTTAGCTCAGCCACGGGGCCTGTATTCCACTTGCTACGCGGCCTCGATTCCTCCTGTCATGTTGGAGACGTCTGTGGCACAATAGGGAATAAACAGCAAATGCAGCCGAATGGCTGTCATCTTCACTTGGAAAATTCTATGGAGAACCTATTTGATATACTTTTAGATGGATTTCAGAGTTCTACAATGGTTAGTTAGAATCTGTGATTTGATTATATATACAATTAAAGTTAATCCAAGTGGGCAGAATCAACACTTTTCCAAATTTAACCATGTGGCAGGCATGCAAGTCAGAGATTCTGCCTTTAAAACCATGTTGATTCTTTTGTAAACCATCCTCCCATTCTCCTTCCTTACAGGGTGAACCTTTTCCTTTGCGAGATCATGTTGGACAGTTCCCTGGTGACAGTACTGTAGGAACTCAGGTTAGAAAGTGAGATGAGGGGAGAGGAGAGAGCACAGGGCAGGAAAGGCGGAACGTTCTGGAACGCACGGCAGTGTCTACCTCACAGCCCAGTGTTCTCACACTTCACTAGTGTGTTTATCCTTTCCTTACCAGCTACCATCTGCGTGTATGGGAATTCACTGCACGCTCGTCTTTCTGGTCTGGGTTAGCACACTCAGGATGATCTTTTCTAGTCCCGCCCATTTGGCTGCAAACATCGTGATGTCTTTTCTTCTTTTTTTTAATTTATTTATTTATTTATTAAAGATTTCTGTCTCTTCCCCACCGCCGCCTCCCCTTTCCCTCCCCCTCCCCCAATCAAGTCCCCCTCCCTCGTCAGCCCAAAAAGCAATCAGGGTTCTCTGCCCTGTGGGAAGTCCAAGGGCCACCCACCTCCATCCAGGTCTAGTAAGGTGAGCATCCACGAAACTGCCTAGGCTCCCACGAAACCAATAGGTCCAGTAGAATCAAAAACCCGTTGCCATTGTTCTTGAGGTCTCCAAGGCCAGCTGGCCTGGGTCTGAAAAAGCCTGGGTCAAAACCGGTCTCGCTGAACATAGCAGACAAGGAGGACTACTGAGATGTCTTTTCTTCTAACAGCCGAACAATACTCAACTGTGTAAGTGCACCACAGTTTTTAAAAATCCGTTCTTCATGTGAGGGACATGTAGGTTATTTCCAGTTTCTGGCTACTGTAAATAAAGCCACAGTGAGGCTCTTGAAATACAGATTGATTTGCTGAACCCTGACATACACAGACTTTGAGGCTTGTTGGTGTGCTCTGACTATCCCGTGTGTTAAGGGCAAGTGCTTAGGGTTGTTATGTGTGAGACACTTGGATTTAAGCCTGTTGCTTTTTGCTTGCATGACCTGTGTGTGTGTGAGTGTGTGTCCTGGTTTGCTTGTGTGTCTCTGTGTGTGTTTATGTGTTGATTCTGAAGACTGGACCCAGGGCCTTGGGCTCTCCTCCTGAGTTACATTACCTGCTCCTTATGAGAACTTTGGAAATTCGTTACATTGTTTCCTCAGGTATAAAGTGCTAATGACAAGTGAGACAATCTTACTTGCAGTGTTGTTGTGAAGACTGAATTTAAAGCGTGCACAGAGTGCCTAGACACACAGCCCTGACAGTCGGGTTTCTCAAACTGTGAAGTCCCGGTGGGAAACTTGTCCAAATGCAGACTGCCATCCACCTGTCCAGGAAGCTGCCTGAGTTCCACGTTTCCCAGACGTTCTCAGAAGATGCCAGGGGTCTAAAGGCGACATGCAGAGACGCAAATGCTTCATGAAACCATTGGAGAGCTGCCTCTACAATCAAGGGCTCTACTGGTTGGAACGGCAGGCCATTTTCCCTGATAACTTTGAGCTTACTGTAGTAAGTGGTAGATAACAAACGTGGACATAAAAATTAAGAAACGCAAGCCTCAGTGGCGTCCCACTGGGAAGGAGGTCATTGTACCCAAGTTTGTGCCGCTGATTGCCAGTGTAGAATAAGACGGTTTTCTAGATGTATCCAGACGGAAACATCCCTGTTCGTGTCGTTGTGCTCCCTGTTCCCTTCAGATCATCTTTATCGATGCCATAAAAGGCTATAGTTTTCCATTTATTCTTCCACAAAGAAAACCTGTGATCTTCGGAGCATTTTCTTTCTCTATGTTCGGTAGACGTTTCTGAAATTAGCAAGTTGAACTGATGTGTGGCAAACGTGACTGTGAATTTAAGGCAGGCTTTTGCTATGTAACACGGCATTGGAGTTAAGATCTGTTTGCCCCAGCCTTATGAAAACTGGGTTATAGGCACCCAGCACCATGCAAACAGAAACACGGGTCTTAAAATAGAGTTCTGACACCGTGAGAGGATAAACTTCGAAGGAGTGTGGAATCTTTTCCCATAGACGGCAAGGTTGAACCCGTGACTCGCGTGTTTCTTTCTTAAGGAGGCTTTGGCGATTGCTTCACTTTTCACCGGCGGGGGGAGGGGGACAAGCTAGCTGCCTTGCTGCCGAATCCATTCTCTGATAACTACCAACACCACGCCACGGCTGCTTCAAGCAATGCCAAGGCAGGTGAAGGATCTCAGTCACCGCTGAGTTGACTGTTCAGGCTGCAAGTTCCACTGAGTCTAGCCGAAGGCGTTCCACTCCATCCTGTGTTTTCAGAAGGTTTATTTTGTGCTTCCTGCCTGTTTCTGGCCCATTTTGTGGGAGGGACTCAGAGTCAAAGTCCTTTGAAGTAGACATGTTAAATTAACAATGTGTCAACGTGTCAACGTGTGAATGGATGGGCTGAGCCTGCTGCAGACAGGAGAGCTCAGGGCGGTGTTCTCAGGCTGTGCCTCCCCTGTTTCCATCCCTCTCACTGTGTGTTCCTGCTTCAGAACAGCACCAAAGAGTGAGCAGGAACACGCCAGAGGCCCCTTCACCCCGAGCCCCCTGCTTCCTAGGAGGTTTCCAATGGACGCTTTTCCACGTGACGCTCTGTCACGCTGTCGTGCTGGAGATGGCGGCCCCGCGTGAAATGAGGCAGAAGAGCAAAGGACTGTAGCCCAGGACAAGGTGTTAATGGAGACACACGGTTTGTGTGCTTGAGCCTGATCAGAAATGGCAGGTACGCGTCCAACCCCTAAAAAAATGGTGAATTAGTTTCTCTCGGCACACAGGCGTGATCAGCCACACCTCTGGTGGGCCGGTTGCAGGAACAGGGGGATGGCCGGAGGCATTTAAGGCTGTGAGTTACCTACTCAGACAGCACAGTAAACGAACAGAGTCACCGACTCCCAGCGTCACCTGTGGAGATGGTGGAAATATTGAGAATTTTCAGCTCCCACCACATTCATAGAAAAAGAATTACACAGGAGTGGGCTCTAATCACCCGGACTTCTAACCTGCTCTGTGGCTGATTTGAATACATTCCTGAGTAAGTGGCTTGGTTGAAGTAGCTCTTTCTGGTAATAAGGGGCTATTTTCCTGACAGCAGAAGGCAGTGAATTAGTGTCAACAGGCCAGGGCTTTGGTTTCGAGGAGACCACAGCTCATACTTGGGTTCAGCCTTTTCTAGTTGAATGAATTCTCTCCCTCTTGCTATTTCCTGGTGGAACAGGTGGGGATGATGGACTTCCATCACGGGGTGCTGAGGGTTGCAATGTTGAAACTCAAGCCTGGATCAGCGTGTGGGTGCTGTGGAATTTTGCTACCTCAAGCCTACTCTCGGATCAGCTGTACTGGCCTCACTGCAGGCAAGATTCTAGACATGCAGAAGGTCAGGCCCATGGCAGACCACCCTGCTTGGCATCTGTAGGCCCAGGATTTACAGAGCACAGCGGCATCACCCTTTGAATAGTGCAGCCATCAACAGGCACCTTTTCCTTTCATTTCCCAAATGCAGGGTAGCGGTCAGCCAGACCGGGCCTGGCAAGTAGAGCCGATGGTTGGTGCTGGATCCATGGAACCTGGAAGGAGAGAAACCAAGTTCACAGGGTGACCTCTGACCTGCGCACACACACTGCGGCTTGCTGGGGTTTCCTGTTGCACACCCACATAGTAAACGAACAAACAGTACACCTAAAAGTGTCGGGATTGAAACAAAGACACGGTATATGTTTGCCATTTTGGTCTTTCTTCATCAATATTGATTAGTGGCGCGAGGAATCGCTGCGGCTGGCGCACAGCGGTTTGGGCTTCAGTAAAACTTTGAAAATTGCCTCTCGGTTCCTTCTTTTTATATTTATGCACATAACCGTAAACCCGAAAAGCCAGAATCACAGTTTAAAAGTAGGCAGAATGTATCCACAAATAAAAACTCATCTAGCAACCAATAAAATGGAAACCCGTGAATGTTTTCAGTGGATTCTCAGCCAGATTAAGAGGAGAAAAAACACATCAAATAAAATATTTGGAAACTATGCTATTTGTTGATGCCTATAAAATTTAAAAATAAACTGAACAAATCTGCTTATTCTTCCCAAGTGTAACTTTTGTGAGTTTCCACGATTATTGGAATCACCATTGTAAATGCGTTGCTAAATTTAATTCTTTACTTAAAATCCACCAGTTTGGTGCTTGTAGTTTAACTCTGGCAAAAAGGTAGAAAATCCGATTTTTCAAAGGCCTCTGGACGCTGTTCCTCCATGCGTACTTTAACGCCTCCATCTCTGGAGGGCGCATGAGGAAGTTCTTGCCAGCTGGAGCCCGGGGGAGTTATCAGGTCATAGTTGAGGGATCTCAAGTTTCTCACAGTGTCTTGCGGGAATGGCTCTGCCACCGTGGGCACACCGTCTCGCCCTTCCAAACATTTTGTTTTCTTTCTCTTGGGACCCAAACTGAGCAATTTTATTTTTACACATACAATCTCCTTTCATTATGTTGTAGCAAGATTTTGCTGTTGCTGATCAGTTTTTAAAAGCGAAATTGTAACCTTAGGAACTCATTGTCAAGGGAGTGAATGATTTCCCTTCTCTGCCAGCCCATTGCTGGTTAAGTGTAACCAGCCCTGGGTGGACGACCTGGCTTCAGGAGCCTCACTGTTGTACCTCCAAGACCAAGGTCTTCAGGCTGTTCAGATGCAGCCACCTGCCCAATGGCTTTCATTGTCAAAACTACTCATGGAAGTTACCAACCAGTCCACTTTATTAGCTCATGAGACTGATTTGGGTTAATCAGACTCTTGACTATGCTTTTGCTCTGACCCCATCAGCTCTGTGGCTGACCTTGTTAAATCAGCTAGTGGGGGCTTCATAGCCTTGGACATCTTACTAAAACCACCAGCTAACGGGGGTGGGGCTTCACCGTGAGTGGTAGCATTCTTGTATTTCAGGACAGTAATTATGTCTGTGAGTACAGAACCCTCTGCACTGTCCCCCCCCCCCCCCCAACCCCGTAAAAGGTTTTGCTGCAGGCCTGGTGGCTCTTCCCAGTGTCTCTCATTGTCAGTCGCGTCAGCCAATCGCCAGCAGAAGAATGGTGAATTTGACAAACTTCAGATTTACTCTAAAAAAAATAAAAAGTCACCAACCCATGGAACTCCCTGTGTTCCTTTCTTCTGGGTCAGTTTTATTGTTCCCTGGTTTACATGAGGAAGAAGAAGGTCCATTTTGGTTCGGTTCTGAGTGTGCAGCTAGGTTGATTTTCGTCCTCCCTGACACCCCTAAAGACTACGAATTAGCACCTGGTGCTGTGGGGACATGGATGGGCCCCTTGATTCTCCAATGGTTAACTAAATGACCTCAGGGAATCCTATGAAATATGCGTAGGAAGTTTTCAGTTGCCCCTTTCTAGGCATATTGCTTTAAGCCATGCTTGGGAGGGGAGGAGAGCTGAGATCATGAAGGCAAACACTGGCAATAACAAACCTTTGTCTCAGGCTGAACCAGAGAAATTGCATGTTTTGTAGCACAGGCAATTCCATATTATCCAAATATTTTCACTCTCCACATCTCAAGGCCTGCAAACTTTGGTAGGAGTTAGGGAGATCTATAGCTTTGGAATTGCTTGAGTCAGATGTGACTTGAGTCCAGATGGTGGCGGGAAGGGAAGTTGTTCTTGGCATTGGCACAGACCTTCCCTGGTTCCTTCCTTCCACCTTATTCTTTACCCCATCCCTCTCTAATATGCTGGCTTCCAGAAACCTTCCAGTCCAAAGCCTCATGCTTGTCAGTCATCATCGGTCTTCTCTGTCTTAGCTACTTCCACACCTGCCTCACCTCGGGGTTTTCTGTTGCCGTTGTGGCACCTGGGTCTCTTTCTGTTGCCCAGGTAGGCTAAACTGGAATTCATGGCAATCTTCCTGCCCTGCTTTCCTTGTACTGGGATTGCTGGTGTGACTCTCCTGCCCAGTTTCCCTTGTGCTGGGATTACAGGTGTGAACCTGCTGCCCAGCTTCCCTTGTGCTGGGATTACAGGTGTGACTCTCCTGCCCAGCTTCCCTTATGTTGGATTGCAGGTGTGAACCTCCTGCCCTGCTTCCCTTGTGCTGGGATTGCCAGTGTGACTCTCCTGACCAGCTTCCCTTGTGCAGGGATTACAGGTGTGAACCTCCTGCTCAGTTTTCCTTGTGCTGGGATTGCAGGTGTGACTCTCCTGTCCAGCTTCCCTTGTGTAGGGATTACAAGTGTAACTCTCCTACCTAGCTTCCCTTTAGCTGGGATTGCAGGTGTGAACCTCCTGCCCAGCTTCCCTTGTGCTAGGATCACAGGTGTGAAATTCCACACCCAGCTCTGATTTGTGTCTTAAATGCTATAAATGTACCACATCCTGTTTGAAAAGAAAATATGGCTCCTAGGAAAAGGATAAACTCAATACCAAGGAGTGCATTCTAAACAGGCGCCGTGTCTGCACATTGCCAAATCGCTCAATTTAGCCAGAGTCATTGTGTGACCTTTATAAAACAACTCATCTGTGTGCCTGTAAAACTGCAAGAGTAAGGTTAGATTAGAAGTGGCTGTTCAATTTTGTTCACAATTGGCAAGTATTAGTGAGTTCTGGAGGAGTGTGTCTGACTGTCCTTCAAGGGCTGGCTCATCTTGGTTTTGATTTAGATAGTGCATGTATAATTGCTTCATAAAGTTGTTCCTGGACAAACCAAGTTGACAAAATTATATAGTAGGTCCAGAGAGGATGCACCCCAGTGCAATAGAACTGTAGAAATTTTGATACTCATTCCTTTTAGATTGGAGAGTGGCAACTTTTTTTAAAAATAGCTGTGAATATTTCACTTGGTACTTATAGAAAAAGTAGGGCAGACATTGAAATATTTCTGTTTTTCAATATGTATTAGCCTCATTTTCAAAGAGCTCCTTGACATTTAAAGCTAGTGAATTTTATTTTATGCCTCTCTTAAGTGGAAATTCCTCTTAGTACAAGAAATGTCTATCTTGTGGCGTGGAGGAGGAACGGTGGGCAAAGTGCATGCTCGCCACATAAGCCTGAGGACCCAAACCCACACCTAAGTGAAAACTGACTCCACAGAGTTGTCCTCTGACCTCTGTCTACGCCCTGTGACATGTGCCTGACTTTCCACATTATACACAAATAGTAATAAACAGAATTCAGGAGAGAGATGTGGAAAGCTTGCAAGATGCCCTGTTTAGTCGTGTTCTGACATAGCATGGGCAGTGGTATCATTTATCCGTGAGCACTGTTCACCTGTGAAGCTGTGTGATCCAAGTGAGAGTGTGTGTGTGTGTGTGAGTGTGTGTGTGTGTGTGTGAGACAGAGACAGAAAGAGAGAGAGAGAGAGAGAGAGAGAGAGAGAGAGAGAGAGAGAGAGGGAGGGAGGGAGAGAGAATTCTCAGTGCAGTACTTCATGGCTCNTGTGTGTGTGTGAGTGTGTGTGTGTGTGTGTGAGAGGGAGGGAGGGAGGGAGGGATGGAGAGAGAGAGAGAGAGAGAGAGAGAGAGAGAGAGAGAGAGAGAGAGAGAGAATTCTCAGTGCAGTACTTCATGGCTCTAACGTAAGCATTATGGTTCAGATGGCTCAGCTGGTTTTTTTATCATCCTCACAGACTGGACACAGGAGAGACATTGCCTTGTATTTGAAGGAAAGGACTTCCTTCAAATAACTGTTATGAGCATGAAATAGTACAGAGTTGCTGGTGTGTGTGATATGTGTGTGAGTGTGTATGTATGTGTGTGTTAGGTATGTGTGTTTGTGTATGTGTTTGTGTGGGTGTGTATATGTGTGGTGTGTGTGCATGTTTGTGTGAGTGTGTGTATGTGTGTGAGTGTGTGTGAGTGTGCATGAGTGTGCATGTGTCTAAGTGTACGTATGTGTATGAGTGTGTGTATGTGTGTATGTATGTGTGATTGTGTATGTGTTTGTGTGGGTGTGTATATGTGTGGTGTGTGTGTATGTGTGTTGTGTATATGCATGTGTGTGCATGTTTGTGTGAGTGTGTGTGTATGTGTGTGAGTGTGTGTGAGTGTGCACGTATGTGTCTAAGTGTACGTATGTGTGTGAGTGTGTGTATGTATATGCGTGTATGTGTGCATGTGGGGGTAATCCTTTAGGTTATTTAGTATTAATATGATGGACTATTTAGCTGTAATTTGTTGGTGAAATTAACTTCTAGGTACAAGGTTTACATAACGAGAGTATATTAAATTTTGCTACACTGCAGCCCTTAATACTTAGCGATAGATTTGGTTTCATGTTGAAAAGTTTACTTTGCACAGATTTGTTTAAAGATAGTGTATGGAATAGGTTTAGCTAATGACCCTTGCTGCTGGATAAGCTTTGGTATGGAGGTGTCTCGGAGGAGAAAGCAGTGAGCAGGGCCTGAGAACAGGGCTGTAAGATGCCAGGGTTAATGGAGCAGGGTGGGGGAGGAAAAAGCAACAGCGTCCCTCTGTGAGGGCAAAAGACTCAGTGGACATAGGACAGCCTGGAAAGGATCCAGGAGGAGGGAGAGACTGTGAGGAGCTTGGGGGTAGCACCGCCCGAGGAGGTGAAGGAAGGAGAGCCGGCTGCAGAATAATTCCCTCGCTGTAAGGCATGCTCTTTCTTAAGTAGCACGACCTCAGAGTGGTCCATCTACTGGGAGAAAATGTCACCCATGTGCTGATCTCTCCGAAGCCCTCCTTAAATTAGCAAACAGACAACTTACTCTTCTAGCTGCGATGCGGTTCAGTTCCCCCGATTCCACATGCGGCTGTTTTCAATTCTTCCTGCCTTTCCTGTGCCGTTGCATATGACCTGTGACAGGTAATCCTCATCTCCAGTGCCAGGCCACGGTCCAGGCCATCGTCTTTCTTCGCTGTGTTTCTACTGTAGTTTATGATTCCACAGTCAGCTCTTGGTTCTGGCCCTGATTTTCTACAGACCCTTCTCAA